AGTGTGTGGGGAGGGGAGGGTGCAGCGGGCCTGGGGACACATCTGCTGCACGTGCTGCAGGGGAGCCCTGAGCAGAGCAGACCTGTGGGGCTGTGGGGGCAGAGTGGGGTGCGGATGGGTGGACCCGGCCAGACCCCGATCTCCCTGCTGTGTGTCCTCCTACATGGGCCCCGCCTCTCTGGGCGTCTCCCCTCACCTGCGTGCTCCTCACAGGCAAGGCTCTCTCGAGACTGATGACAGCATCTGGGCAGGATGCTTGTCCTCTGGTGCAGGGCTGGGGGAGCCACTTGGTGATGATGCAAGGATCAGGAACCCCCCTGACTCCTCCTGCCTGCCCATCTGAGTCACTCACAACCCCCGTATCCTCAAGGCACCGTGGCTCTCTTTGGCTGCACGCCCCGAGCTGGAGTTGCGTAATCCTCCCATTCCTGTGTGAGGGGGAGCTCTGGCCAGTGGGCAGAATGGTAGTTCTCTCTCTATGTGCCTGCACATGGTAGCTGCTCATGAACGGCTACTGCCCTGGCGGGCTAGGATGTCAGACCCAGGTCCTCACCGACAGCGTGGTCTGGGGCCCCTGCTGAGTCAGAGCACTCCCTTCCGCCACTGCCAGTCTGCATGATACTGGCTGGCTAACTCTGCCTGCTTGAGACCCAGCTTGTGGGACCACACAGACTGAAGGTGTGTGGCAGGCCTTTGTTTGGAGACAGTCTTTCAGACCCTTCCTCAGTCTGCTCTTTCCCACTCTCTTTCCCATCTCCTCCTAGGCTGGGTTCCTCCAACTCTCCATGTCCCCTCCAGGGATGTGTCTCAGTTTCAAATCGGAGCATGTTTCTCCCCAGCCTCAAGCCAACCTTGGCTCCACATTGCCCTCGGGCTAATGTCTGCACTCTCTTCCCAGCTGTAGGTCTTGGCTTTCCCTGCGTGCTCCTTCTCACACCTTCTGTTCAGTCAGGTGAGCCGTGTGGCCTCTGAACCTTTCCTTTCACCGTCACCGTCCTCTCCTGGATCCCATCTAACCTGCAGCTCCCTCTCTTGTCCTCGCATGAGGCTGTCCTGAGCACAGACTCTGGGACGCAGAGCCACATCTCTTCACTTGCTGCTCTCTTTCCCCATGGGCCTCTGGGCACCTCGAGATGTCTGGCATCCCTGGAGCAAGTCGTGGGGCTGACAGGCCTGCTTGCTGGACAAACAAATGGCCTGGACTTCCATCCCCTCTGGACTCTTCTCAGGGCTGAGCGCCTAGATGGCGCCCCCTCCCCTTTCCAGTTGGGTCTTCAGTGGAAGGTGCTAAGGGGTCACCGCACTGCTGGAGCCTGTGGGAGGGGAGCCAGGAGGAGCAGGTCGGGGGAGGCTGGGGCCACACGTCCGGACACGGGCACGCGGAGGCTGGGGGCTGGGGGCCCCCTCGGCTTTATGTGGCGGCCTTGTAAACACCAGGTACGTGTAAGCACATGCGGGTGTGCAAGAGCCCAGCGGGGCGGTGTGGCCTCCCTCTCTGGTCCCCTTAGCTGTGGGGTGAAATGTCTAACCTGTATCCTGGGCTTAGAGAGTGGCGTCTCAGGTGACAGCTTTCCTCCCCAGAGACACTGGGCATCTGGCAAATGGGGCAACCTCACCCTGGCCTCCTGGGCCCCCGTATTGGCCAGACGGACATAGTCTGAACCCCATAGGGAACGCCATCTCTCACTCAACTGAAGGGGAGGTGCCAGGCTCCATAGCTTTGGTGGGACGGAGATTTGAAGCCGGTGCAGGCCTTTGTCCTGCCCGAGGACTTGACTTCTGGTGGTGCTGCATCTCTCTCATGGGGAGATGCCCTCAGAGCTGGGGTTCCAGCTACACCCACAGTGTTAAAGCAAACCCTCGAGAGGAAGGTGAGTCGGGGCTCTGAGCTGTGGGCCCAGCCAGACCCTGCCCCTGTGAAAACCTCCAGGGCCAGCTGTGCACGGTTGCTGCCCCTCCTCTCTGAGCCTGGCCAGGCAGGAGGAGAGGGTCTCACGCCGGGGGCAGGGCTGGGGGGAGGGGGGGGGATGGGGAGCAGGGCTCAGTACACCAAGGACGTCAGAGGACTGCTGGTGTGGGGGCAGGGGGCGGGGAATAGCGGGCTTGTATACTTCAGCCAGGCTCACTCTATTTCTTTCTGTTAAGCAGATTCTCTCACTTTTACTCCAGTCCATTTCCTCCTTTGCCTCTTACCCTGTGGCTGGCTACAGAGTGTCGCCTCAGCAGCCCTAGCTCAGGGGATGGGAGAGGGCTGAGAGCAGATGCCGTGGGCCCCGGGAAACGTCATAAATAAATGATGGCAGCACACCCTCCATCTTGTGGAATTTGGAGGAAAAACAGATGGTTGTAGCTGGGCGACATTTACTTTACTGTCTGTCAATATTTGAGAGGTTTTATTACTTTGCAGTTGCCAGGTTTTAGAATAAATTAAATGGCTAATGGAAATATTAACATAGAATTAATTTAACTAAACAAATAAAATGGGGTGGGTTGGTGTACTTTGTTTAGAAGTTACTAAATATATTTTCAAAATGAAGCCTCCAGAAAGGGAGTAATTCCTTACTCATTTGGAGGAGCCTAGCCAGTAGATTTCACCAGCACTTTCTGGGTGCTGGGGCCGGGGCTGGTGTTGGCACAGAAAACAGGCTGGCCTGGGCATGTCTGCCACCCAGAGCTCCCAGCCCACAGACCCAGGCGTGGAAGACAGACATGGGCTGTGGCAACCATGCCCAGTGATTCCATTGTGTATGTGGGGCTGGCAAGGAGGCCCGGAGGTGCTGGATGCTGTCTGCTATTTCTGTCCCTTCATCCAACTGTGGGGTGCTTGTTCAGTGCCTGCATGCGTGCATGTGTGTAGTTGTGACCAACTCTTTGTGACCCCATGGACTATAGTCCACCAGGCTCCTTTGTCCATGGGATTCTCCAGGCAAGAATACTGGAGTGGATTGCCATTTTCTCCTCCAGGAGATCTTCCCAACCCAGGGACCGAACCCATGTCTCCTGCATCTCATGCATTGCAGGTGGATTCTTTACCACTTGAGCCACTGGGGAAGCCCCTGCTTAGTGCCTGGTTGGAGGTTGAAGATTTAGGGAATAATCAGGCATACACCTGCCAGCAGCAAGCTCCCAGTCAGGAAGGGGAGTAGGAAAGGAGACAGGTAACACTGGCTTCCCCACTGCTCTCAGGGAGCCTGACTGCAGCAGCATCTCCTAGTGTTAGGCCTGCGTGGACAGCCAGCACTGAGCTCCTCGGCACTGCTGGGCCTGCTCACTAGCCCAGTCAGATGCTTTTAAATAAAATGGTGCTAGAAATATGCACAGGGTGTCGGAAAAGCGTAAGGCAAAAAGGTTTTCTCTCTTTCCCAGACGTTGACTTGTTGCACATTGGAAGAAACATGGAAGCAATTCTTTGCTCAGCAGCACTTGACTCCCTCAAGGCTTAGCTCTTTGCCTGAAATCGACCATTAGAAAGTCTTTTCTTGGACTAGAATGTTGCCTTCCTTGTGTGTCTTTTACAATTCAGGGGTGACTAGTAATGCCCATATCCTAATGCTTTCCTTAGAAACAGAAAAGTGGATCTCTGAGGCTTTGGTTCTTGAGAAGAAGAAGGAAGCAGAGAGGCATGGGTCAGTGCAGGACATGGAGGAGAACTGGCCTTTATCAAGGACAGGTCACAGAATCTTTATTTAGCACTCACAACTTTCTGGACTGGGAAGCCAGACAGGATGCAAGCCAGGCAGAACTTTGAAAGCCATACCCTGCCTTTGGAGCTCATTCCACAAGGATGCGGGCCCAGGGAAAGATAAGGTCCGGCCTGTGCTTTAAGACAACAGCCTTGGTAGAGGTGGGTGGATGGAGGGGTCTGTGTGGATGTAGAGAGCCTCTGTGTCTGTCCTGGTTGAGGGAGCCTGATTTAGGCAGGCAGGTGGAGCTGAGATGAGGTAAACGAGTGGGCAGTGTGTGTGGCCTGGGTGGAGGAAGGAAGGGTATGTACGTTACCTCTGAGAGGTGCAGAGAGGCCCAGAAGGGTGGAGAAGAGTCTGGAGAGAGGCCTGGGCTGCAGATGCATTTGAGAATCATCACGTAGAGAGGCCTGGCTGGCAGCAGGGAGCATCTGGAGAGGAAGACAGGGGTGTGGAGCATGTCCTGGGGCCCTAATGCTTGGAGGTGGAGACCAATAAGCCGGTCCAGGGACCCTGTGGACCCACGTGAGCTGTGCCGGGATGGGGCTCTGCTGATGGCTGGTCCCACACAGCCCACTTGGACAGAGGGACACATTCCCAGAATCAATGTCCAACAGTCCCAGAGGGCCTGGCCTTCTCATCTCCCCAGTACACAGTGAGTGTCTGTAGGTCCCCTGGGAAAGGACAGAGGGAGGCAGCTGACTGTCCTTGCCGTCGCCTTCAGGAGCCTTCCTCCCAGAGGTGTGTTCTCTCCTCCAGGCAGTGGTTCTGGATTAACGCTGGTTTACACCTGACACTGCGCCTGGGATTGGAGCTTCTTAATGGAGCCTCTGTCCTCGGCCTTTGATCTTCCAACCCTGATTTATTCGGATTGTATAAACTGAGCAGTCTTCAGGCCTGTCTCTCTGGCCCCTGGCAACTCTGTGCCCTTTAACTGTCTCCATAACTCTGCTTTGGGTGCTGTGGGCCACCGCTTGGATCTTGTGGCCCCAATGTGCACTCCTGGCTTCTGGTGTTGGGTGCTGACTCGTGGCCTCTGTCGGGTGGACTGCTGTCTATCTGCGGCTCCCAGGGAGCCTGACTCTGCAGCGGCCCCTCCTGCCGTCAGGCTGCACGGACAGCCCACCCTCAGCTCCTCCGTGGTCCTGGGCACTTGCACCCCAGGCCTTCTCTGTCGTGGGCCGGGTACCCAAGCCACCCAGGTGACACGGGCACCCAGTAGACTCCCCCTGGCAGGGGAGCAAGGCAGAGATGGGTGTAGGAGGGGGTGCTGCTGGGTGCAGCTGGGTCCCTGCTGCAGTGGAGGCCTCATCTCACCCTCTGGGTGAGGCAGCTCTCTGCGGCTGGGCGCAGGGTCTGGTGGGGAGGCAGCTCCGAGCCCATCCTCCCAGCAGCTGCCAGGGCATGCTGGCTCTGGGGAGGAGCTCTGCTCTCCAGATGGTGGGAGAGTTGTGAGCTTCCATAAGGAGGCAGGGGTCTGTTTGCTTTAATGCTCCTGAGGGCCAAGCGACAGTGTGGACAGGGCTCTGTCCCTTGTTGTAGGGGAGTGGTGGGAACAGGCTCCCGAGTGGGGAGGAATGAAGACTTGCCTTGGAGTCTGGGAGTAACCATTGCAGGCCCTGGGGGGAGCTCTGGGGACCAGAGGGAGGCGGGAAGTCTGGTGGTGCGGTGTCCACTGTGCCTTAAGCAGGGCCTTTCTTTGAGCCTGGGCTTCAGGAGGCATGACAGCTGTTCCCTTTCATCTCTGTGCTCCTTTCTGTCCACGCCAACATGCTCTGAGAAGGTCAGAGAGGAGAGGAGGAGGAGGAAGTCACAGCGCCAAGGGAGGGCTCAGTGCAAGTTTCCTCACAGCCCTCGGGGAGGGGTGACTGAGGATCCATGGCCTAGTCCGGGTGCAGGCAGCTCACTCTCCCTTCACAGAGCTGGGTCCCAGCCTGTCTACCAAGGATGGCACTGCTCCAGCTTTTATTAAATCAAGAGAGGAAAACATTTTTGCAAGAGGCTAAATAGAACTTAATTGGCCTTGCGGTTGGAATCAACAGAGGACACTTCCCGCCAGCCTTTGAAGGCTTTGGTGGTGGACGAGGCCTGGCTGTCTTCACCGTGACCCACAGCTTGGTTCAAAGCCTCAACACTGAGATCTGCGGACGGTCCCTGACCAGGCTGCAGCCTGCTCAGCACATCCTGGGTAGACGTTCGACTTCAGGGGCTGCACTGAGGGCTCTGTGGAGCCCCAGAGAGCCTTCCTCTTCTCATTCGTCCGGGAACTCAGTGGAAGGTGCCCTGAAGTTCAAATCCAGGAGCCCAGGGAAGGGTGGCGATCTGGCTGGCAGAGCTCGCTGGGGGCGCAGCCAGCGTCTCTGCTCGCTTCCTCCACATTCTCAGGTCTTGTGCCCAAATATCTGGTAGCCGTGTGAAGCTTGTAGTGTGGAGAAGGGGCACGCATAGTGGAGAGCACTGCACTAGTGTTAAAATTCTTCAGATACATTAGAGATGTCCATGGCGGTCCAGTGGCTAAGACTCTGCACTCCCAATGTAGGGGTCCTGGGTTTGATCCCTGGTCAGGGAGCTACATCCTACGTACCGCAACTAAGTACAGAGTAGGAAATGGCAACCCACTCCAGTATTCTTGCCTGGAGAATCTCATGGACAGAGGAGCCTGGCGGGCTCCAGTCCATGGTGTCGCAGAAGAGTTGGACACAGAGTGACTAACATAACATTACTGCATCTGAAGATTCCCCATGCTACAACTGAGACTCAGTGCAGCCAAATAAACAGATATTAAAAAAAAAATAAATGACTAGAATTCTTCAAGTATTTTAAAGCTGCATGGTATTTCCCCTGGGGACGCCCTGTAACACATAGATCAACCTCTATTGTTGGGAGTTCTGGTTGTTCTAGCGCCCGATCTTGTCATCTCTCAGGCAAAGTCCTTGCTGGAGGCGGACACAATGGTCACTCCCTGCGCGTCCTCTGTGAAGCCTCATGCCCTGGCTTTGCACTCTCCACTGTGGCTGCAGGGCCCTGTCTCCAGCCTCCCCTTCTGCACCTCCCCACCAACAGGAGCCCCTGGGGACCTCTTGAGTGTGTGTGCTGGTCCTATTCCTGTCCTTCCCACATGACTGCTGCTGTCGCAGGCTGTGTGGAACTGTGGACCTTGGTGAACTGTGGACCCTGGAGCGTGGGCGCCATCAGCAAACTCCCCTGCTTCCAGCTACTTTGTCACATAGGAGAGCCACACCGTGCCTCTGGGGCACAGCTGTCCTGGGGAGGGGGCTCCATGAGAGTCGTGACAGCTGGTGTCTTCATGGTGAGGATGCGGCCACAGCCCAGCCAGCCTTGCAAGCTCCTGCCTGCACAGCGCTTCTCACTCTGGCTTTGAGAACGCAGCAGTTCAGCTTCTCATCTGTAAAATGGGTAAGGGATTCACAGGAGGATTAAAAAACAAGGGACAAGTGTGACTTCCCCTCTCTCCTCCCTCTGGTGATGCTCTGGGTCCCTGGCAGCGTACCCCCCGCCGCCCCCGATCCTTTCCCCTCTTACTGGTACCTGGGGCTCTCACGATGCTGCTGCCCCATTCTGCAGAGGCTGAGCTTCCTCACGGCTCTGAGCATGTAGGCCTCTCTGGGTGGAGGGTGAAACCTCTTAGACACAGATGGTACATCTAGTCTGAAAATGGTAAGGACCCTCTAAGGTAAGACTTCTCAGGTGGCGCTAGTGGTAAAGAACCCGCTTGGCAGTACATGAGACAGAAGAGACTTAGATTCTATCCCTGGGTCAGGAAGATCCCCTGGAGGAGGAAACGACAACCCACTCCAGTGTCCTTGTCTGGAGAATCCCATGGACAGAGGAAACTGGGCAGCTGCAGTCCACAGGGTCCTGAAGAGCCGGACATGACTGAAGTGAGTTAGCATGCATGCACGCAAGCATCACTCTAGATAACCCTTCCTTCCTTAAACACCGGCTGTGTGCAGCACCAGCTGAATGATTTAAAGCGTGGCCTTGTCTGACTTAGTTCCCACAATGATTTGACCAGGTACCTATTATCTTCCCCATTTCAGGTGTGAGAAAACCCAAGTCCAGAGAGGCTGAGGGGCCTACGCAAGGCTGCACAGCTACTCACAGGTGGGGATGAGATTTACACACAGCTGGCTGCTGGTGACCAGGATGCTCCATGGTGAGATTCTGGAGCTTCTCAGGAGCTCTCAGGCATGTCCAGCCTGTATTTCAATTAAGTAGACTTCTTTGAACTTTGTCATCATGATGCCATCATGATGCCATCATGATGTCATCAGTGACAGGCCACCTTCAGAGTGTGGGCCCTGGGCTGGACCAGGGTTTGGAGCTGGGTCATCCTGACACTAGCTGTGTGCTCTTGGGTATGCGACTAAACCTTTCTGTGTCTCAGTTTCCTCCATCAGGGTTTATGTGAAGCGCTTACAAGAGGACCTGGTACATGAAAAGCCATTGTTAATACTAGTCCTTCTTATGTTTATCTTTTAGCTCCAGAAACTTATGTTTTTTCTATAAGCAAAAGCCTTCTGGATATACTAATGTAGCCCCTGATAGTTTGAGTTGAACAAACAGGTGGGCATAGCTGGGTAACAGGTGTGCTCTGGGAGTAGCTGATCACATATGGAGGGTTTAAGTTCAGCCTCCTTGTGGGCTGGTGGGGAGTGCCTGGGTGGAGGCTCTTCCAGATGTGTGTCAGGAGGGCCAGAAGTGGGGAAGCCTTCTCTTTAGTTGCCCCTTAATTTTTAAAATGTTTTATTTGCTTTATTGAACAATATATTATACAGTTTTCAGTTTTCTCATGTGGTAAATTTTCTTATTGTTGAAAAAAATTCTGTTGATAAATATTTTTATACATTTTATAAGTTTATATTAAATTTTTTGGTTTAAAAATATTGTTTTTAAAAATTTCTTTGTTCTATTTTGAATAGGGAATACTTAGATGTTGTGAAAACAATTGCATGACAGTCAGATGATAAGTCTCCCTCTCACCCTGACTGACAGTTCCTCCCATCTGATGCATCACTGTTGCCCACTTCTGTGTTCTTCCAGAAGTGTTCTATTCCTATGTAATCCAATATGTTCTTTCCCATTTTCCATATGCAAGGGGCTGCACCTTGCTTTTTTCACTCATCAATAAATCTTGGGGACAGACCCAAGGAATGACTCCTATTGTAGTGGCTGCCAGCTTCCCAGTGTTGAGATGACCAAACAATTCAATTTGTCTGCCCTTCACAGTGGTGTTTGGATTGATGAGTAGTTAAGGATCGCATCTCTGATTCAATGAACATGAGTCTGAGCAAACTCTAGGAGATAGTGAAGGACAGGGAAACTTGGTTTACTGCAGTCCATGGGGTTGCAAAGAGTCAGACACGACTTAGTGACTGAACAGCAATAGTAAGGAAACATGACAGTACAGATACATCCCGAATTACAGTGGCCTAATACAGGGGCAGTTGTTTTTCAGTCACCGAGGGTCCCAAACAGCGATTTGATCAGCTGTTGGCTCCTGGCTCAGATGGTGAAGGATTTGCCTACAACGCAGGAGACTCAGGTTTGATCCCAGGGTGGGAAGATCCCCCAGAGGAGGGAATGGCAGTCTTGCCCAGAGAGTCCCATGGACAGAAGAGCCTGGCAGGCTACAGTCCACGGGATTGTAAAGTAGGACACGACTGAGCGACTAACACTTTCACTTTCACTCGGCTCCTCTCCAAGGGAGGGGCTTGGGGCCTTCCACCAGTGCTCAGAGAGTCCACGTGGCAGCTTCCACAGAGTCACGGGGGGACAGGGTAGGGAGGGTCAGCGCACGGGTGTTTGGGGGCTGCCTACATGGTCCTGCCAGGGTTTGCTGTCTTCCAAGAGGCAGACTTGAATCTGGTTGCATGCTCAGAGCAACGAGAAAGGTGTTTGGGGAACAACTCTCTCTCTGGCCAGTGGTTCTTGTTCTTTTCTCTAAAACCAAGGCTGCAGAGTAAGATGGGAACTCCCCAGCTCCACAAAAATATGTTGCTGTCAGGATTTTTAGGCCATGGTGTGGGTCTGAGCTGGCATGTCTGCATCCCTTGCTGTGGGGGTTGCTGGGGTCTGAGGGTAGGTACACAGACATCAAAGGGCCTGGAAAGCCCAGTTTTAAGCAGTGCCTGATCCATGAGAAACCAAGGTGTGCCCCCAAAAGCGGGGAGGCAGGAGGTACATTCCGCCTCTCTCTGTTCTGCCCTGGCCCGACCTCATCTCAACTCTCTTTACACATGGTGCAAAGCTCTTGCATAGGTGTAGAGGCCCTGCAGGTGAATAAAACAGGTACCTGTGCTCCACAGGTGCATACCTTAGGGCTGCTTTGGGGGCACAGTAAAATCACCTGCGTGTTTTTTAAACACTCCTTTAGACACATTGACTCCT